TCTGTATCCACATAAAAGAACACCTAGTCTGCTAACTTAAAACCAAATACCCCACTAGGCACGCATAGGACCCAGAGACACAACGGAAGGAACTTAGATATACGATGAAAAGACATTAGATCCGAACACAGTGCACTGTTTCATATTTAGATAATAACGACAAATTAATGTGATTGTTATTGGATGGGTAGCAGAGTGGTAGTTCATCATCGTCCGCAATCACGAACATAGTGCTAGTCCGATTCCGATTCGGGCCAATAAAACCTCTCCTCCCTCCGGTGTCGGAAATTAGTACCAGACCTGTTTGAAAAAAAACACTCGCTGAAATCAAATTGGGAACGCTACAGCCCGGCTATCTCAGGTCTCCAGGAAAAGTTGCTCGATCAGCATTCTACGACATTCAAGAGGAAATGAAAATCCTCAAGTAGCAACTGAAGCCACGCGTAAAACTTGGAAGATCTTCGTGTACGGTGGATGAGAGGAATCGAACCGAAGTGAGCGAAGTGAGAAGTGCTGGAATCCACACAGCAGACGTGGATATAGGTCAAACGAAATAAATAAAACAAAATAAAAAAATAAAACAAAGCTTTATCAAGATATTTATCCACGATTTTCTCTAAGATTTTTAGTCCAACCGAGCATCGGGTTCCGCGTGATGCTAAGTCAGAAGACCGGATGGTCAGAGTTCTTCATGAAAACCTCGAAACAAAGATATGATGCACAGTGAGTCTCTAAAACGAATGAAACTTACTGGGATACTCTTATCGCTCAGATCCTTCATTTTTTTAACGCCTTGTTTGCCGATGGTGGCTTCTTATGGTTTGATTTCTAAGGTAAAAACGGACACGTGTAGCTTATTGTTTAGAGGTGCCCTGCAATAAACACGACCTTTATTCCGCGCCTCAGGTCATCAGGCCTTCCATCCCTCAGTGGTGAGCAAATTGGTACCAGATGTGTCTGGCAGGATAGCAGCACTGGCTCTGTACATCGGTAGGCCAACGTCAGTCACTGTGCAGGTCAGATATACATTCACCTCCAACGATGCTTAATGAAGACGAATGCATGGCGCATCACTCGGGAATTGATCAACGTAGAGCTCTATCCTTTGTTGCTCTAACACTCTCGTGATGAGAAACCTCTCTCTGTAGGTGTCACAACAAAGTAGCGAGACTGGCCATCATTATACCTACAGAATTCGCTTTCCGATTGCTTATTTTAACACATATTGGTGTTTCATTTCTTGTAAGCAATCAGCAGATTATCTAATGTATGGGTGGGTGGCGCCCATAGGAGGGTGTCGTTTTAGTAATTTCTCATTTTGAGGCGAGAGACCACTGCTGTTTAAGAGAGTGTGTAGCGGAGGGTGCCACCTTTAAAAAGCTTGGAAGAACTGGCATCGTACGCAGTGTGCCGCATCATTTGACTAACAACTCGTTGTTCTCTAATTCTGAACTGCTATGATGATCTTTGGTTATTGCATGGAACGGGATTGTATTAAAACCACAAGGTAAATAACGTAAAATATTTTGCAGAACTAATAAAACTTCACTAAATGTTGACAGCAGTATGAATGCATAGTGGAAAAGTTTTTTTATTACACATAAGAGCTGTACATGCTCCAAAAACATTGGAGGGTGTATAAAGTATGTAAATCACGCATAGGACAAGAGAAACGCAAGATTGTCCTCAAAACGCGCATAGAAGCCACAATAAAAGAGGCGGAGCCAATTAATAACTGCCGGAGTGGCCGGTGTGACTTCCTTAGGTGTCAGAGTGAGCTCAGCGAAAAATTAAGCGTCCTCAATTGTTCTAGAAAAACGAAGTCGGGCTCCTTCAAGAGTGTTAATGAAGACGAATACATGGAGCATCACTAAATGATTTGTGATCGACGAGCACCTTGCCATTTATCAACTTGAAATAAGGCTCCTGAACACAAGAAAGCAAGTATACTGAATTCTTATTTACAAAAGTATTTACAAATAAACGAAATCTAATACAATGAAAACATGGCGGGCATATTACAAAAGGACAGTACTGATATTTCATAACGCTATGAATTAGACAACAGAAAGAATTCTGGACCCGAAAGAAATGCTGCCGAGTATTTATCAACTCGACAACGAACAAATGAACATATGGATGCAGATGACAAATTCACGTTTGAGTAATAAGTTTGTAGGGAAATTAAGTTATTTTTTACGCAATTATTTGCTATTAAAAATCACTTACGCACGAAGGAACTGGAAATGTACGCTGGAACATCGTCTTGAATGAACAGTCATCAAAACAGAGCACTGAGGAGTTGGAAATGATGCTGCATTTGCGTGAATTGCAAAAACGGTGCACGGTTTCGACAGGAACACACTCAGTGTCGCGCCGATGCGGATTTTGGCTGTAAGATCCTCGGTGATAGGTTCAGCTTTGACAAAGGTTCACTTAACCCATTGATGTCATGCCTAAAAACACGCTATACAGAAATAAATTCATAAAATATCACTGCGGTTTAGTGCTTTGGAAAAGACAACACGTTGAACGAAATGAGCATTTCGGTGCTTATCTGAATTCGCCTCACCTGGCTTGCCTATTAACGATCGTTTTCGATGGGCAGTATGTCGGATCTTTTACAGAATTCGATTTCCGCTGTTTCTGTATCGATACAGTGTTGCCGAAGCTTCTAAACAAGACAACGGGATCTTTTCAGAAGTATAGAAAATTGTATACCTTTACAACTTCACATATGAAACTCGCGTTTGTTCACATATGAAACTTTTTTCATCCACCAACCGGTCGGATGGTAATGGTTTGGAATTCATTATTTTTTAAGGTCACCGATTTAAAACTGCTTAGGTGTGATGAGCAGGAAAACAGTGGTGTGCTCGAAAATTAATCTGGGAGAATATGAATATTTCCCATCTTTCTTTTTCCAGGAAGATAAGTGATGCATCAGGATGTTTCATATCTGCCACATATAAAGATAGAGGGGTGTGGTTGCAAACAAGAAGGACGACAACTTTTTTACTCTAACAACGACAAAGCGACCGAAACACCGAAGTTTGCTTGTCTGAAAAGGCCAAAATACCAGGAAACTCCTCATTTCATAAAAAAAATAATGCAGATGATGGCACTGTGGTCCCGATGTATCAAAAAATGCAAGTATTTCACTGCAATGTAGCTTCAGTGATTGAAGACTAACCACATGGTCGAAAAGAAGTATAATATATACTATACAGTACTTCACTCCCTAAATGATTAACTGACTAACAAGAGCTCGACATTTCATCTGAAATCTATGGTAAGAGTAAATCGAACAGAAGAACATGCTGTAAGGAACCCATTCCCGAAGAAGTAAACTATTCGATCGATGAAGAGCAGGCATTGTTTGTGGAGAATATTAAAAAACGCTTTAGCACGGCTAACGACCGACATCAGAAGAAAATCCTACCCTGCCAGCAAAGTACTAGTCACTTGGAAATATTCCGGTCCTTTCACTATATATTGATAGTTCACTGCTTTACTGACGCTTGAGATTTCTTTGGCGATAAACTCCAATATGCAGCGGAGTTTCATCTGACCAACAAGGTCTCCCAAGTGGAGAAGAAGGCTAGCATATCTATCTGGACCTTCAGCTGAGCGCAAACCAGTAGCAGGAAATCACAGCATAACAATAAAAAAGCAATACATAGTGTTCATTGACATAAATGTGTTATCGACTTAGAAAAGCCTTGTCATAATTTTTTGAATTATTATTGAGCAAACGCGAGGTGTTACTTTATTCTTTATTCAAGAACAAGCTGACGTTTCGACAGGTTTTGCTTCCTCAGAGCTTGGAAAGGTCAAGTTGACTGCAATCTACTCAGCCAAACACTTCCATAACCAAACAGAGAAAATTCTAAACAAAGATTTCAATGACATTGAACACAGAATAGCTTCATCGCATACTCACTGCTTTGCATGAGTCTTCCACTGAGTATGTCATATGAAGACCAAGTGCACAGAGTTTACTTGAAAGCGTAATGCGCCTTTGACATCAAAACAATAGTCTTAAATACTTCCCAATATCACGTGTGATTATGAGGTATTCCTCCCTGCTGTTAATTTTCGGATTCATGGAATTAATTCAGAATGACTCCAAAATTTTGCCCGCTTGTGTTTGCGACTCTTCTGCGAGGGTCGTCACTTCTACTTCAAAATCTTCCTCATTAATATTTCTGTGTCCTTTGTGTACCTAGTGGGATACCTCGTTTAACTTTAAGTCTACCGACTAGATGTTCTTTTATATGGATGGAGAGTGGTCTACACGTTCCTTAACAGGTTGATGACCATGAAAAGCTTCTAACTCACGCGTGCTAAGAAGACAACAAATCAATCAGCTTACTTAAAGGGATTCCCGAATCGTTTCCGATGACCCATCGCTTTAACCAAAATCAGTGTATCGAGTCGCGGGATAACTCGTACACAATTCTCGATCTCTTCCTCCGTTACGGTAACCAAGTGGCAGTTCTCCTCCTCAGATGGCATTGAACATGTTCCTCTACGCGTCACCCAAGCATGGACCTGTAGAAGAACTTCGAGATAATACTGTTGAATCGAAAAATGAATAATAAGTTTAAGAAAAGCAATCTGTACTGAAAGCGTTTAAAGGTAAGCGTATTAGTTTAGTTCCGCCAATTGATTGGTCACTTTTCAGAGCGTATCAAGCGATATCTACGTTGTTTTGCTTATGCATAATTATTGACTCGGCAATATTTGAACCAACTGTCTTAACTATTTTCCATCGAAGCATTTGTTTTGAAAAAGCTATTTCCTCCCGATTTATACCCAATCTTAAGCCTTTTCCCGCGTTAAGCCTTTTGCACAAGCTCTACTCAAAAAGATAACGATATCGTCTGTAAAATTTCTTTCACGGCGACTTTCGTCCTAGTCATCGCAAAAGGATAGTAAAACACATTAAAAAAGCAAATTAGGCGATATTGACGACTCTATTGGTCACTCCTTTTGGGAACGATGTCGTTTGGATTACAAGAAATGGAAGTAGTTCGCCGTTTTTTGCTCGAAAAACTGCGACGTTTAGTTTTGTTGTTCCGATCTTTTGAATGCAACTTGGACAGCGAATTTTCTTCAGAGGAGATTCAAGGCCTAGTACGTCGACTGAGGTGCGAAAAAAGACACGGGAAGAAGAACTTTTCGTTTACTGTAGTTCATCAAAGCGTTATATTTGCTTAGGTCTCAAGGAGGATATTTCCTAAGACTGTTTCTTCTTGTATGCGTTTTCCAGTAGCTTTTCCGGCCACTACCTTTTCTACTCGTCCTACAAGGATCCTAACCACAAGCATTTTTAATAGGTGTAACAGATGCATTGTAGTCGGATTCATCTCTTTTACCCTCCGTTTCCTAAGCATCTCCTCACTGGTGATGGAGATGCGATCTGAATTCCTAAGTTAAAGAACTGGGGTGTATTCGGCGAGTAGTCCGCAGTTTTCTGCCGGATTTGCTTAGATGTTCACATAGGCAGTGGGAAAGAAGAACGTTCATGATACCTCAGCACGGATAGACGTGCTTACATGTGATGAAGTCACAAAATCTTTACGCATGCTTACCTTCACTTCCTGTAACAATAACCGATGACCAGGATCTTTCATTAACAGCCCTAGAATGACATCCTTCAGTGGATCACTAAGATGTGGCCTGGAAAACCGATACTAATAGTACGGCTCAAAACCATCTTTTCAAAATCTAAAATGCTTACAGAAAAGTCGACATAAGAAAAAAACATCGTGAAATGGAAAAATACTACGGGAAAAAAATAAAAAATCCCATATTAGGAGCAACTTACTCCACGGGGAAGACCACTGGGTCATTCTTGATCTTTCGATGCAGAGCTATCACATAATTATCCCAGAAAGGCACCTAAATTCCGAAATATTAGCGCCTCCAATGCACAAACCGTCCAAGGGCTAACGTTTAGTCATTTAGAGGGAAAATCTTCCACAAAATGTGAAACCATATGGCAGCGAACCGAAAATTAGTGAAACACTTTTGTATTCAACCGAAAGCCGTTGCCATTCGATAAATCACGCAATAAAAAGCTTCATTGTTAAAACAGTTTTTTTTCATCCTGCTTCCAGCAAATAAGCGGCGTTGATAACTATTCGAACTAGCCAACTATCGAGGTTCAGTTATTTACCGAAAACTCATCCACAACAGCCGAAACTGTGCTTTAGCCATTGGTAACCAAAAGCCCTTTATGTTCGGTAACTCATAAACAAAAATGTTACCACTTTCGGAAAGAGTAGTGGTGGAGTCGATCTGGCCTGGGGTCTAAGTTTTGTAAATATTTCAGCAACACAGTGGTTGTATAAAGTGTTCCTAGTTAAAAGTTCCAGTGTTCCATTTTGTTTATAATGGACGAGATGGGTGAAACGTCTCTAGTTTCTGTTCATTCCATTGCTTCTATATCAAAGTAATGACGGTTCTTAACGATTTTTCAGCACTTTTAACTGATTTATGTATGCGGTTTGTGTCCACAATGCTGTCAAATTTTAAAGACTTTCGCATTGCATTTGAACAAACAACAGCCTCACTTTTCCTATTACAAAGGCGTACAAAGTGATTCCTAATGACCACATATCTTGAGCTCGTCCTGAATAGAAATGATTCGATCCTTCTGAAAATCACTCATATATCGTCCACACTCATCATCATAATTACTGTGTAAGAAACAAACAATTTTAAAAAGTTTGGTACACTACTGAAGAAAACGCTACCCATAAGTGCTTCAGGTGCCATGAAAGCCGGGGTTCCAGCAGTGCCGGAGAGGAACGCGTCGATACCTTCGAACTCACACGACACTCCGAAATCGGCTATCTATGAACAAATGGCTCCATTTTTAAAATTTTTTAGTGCTTGCTTAATTAACTTATGCACTTCGGAAGCTGAGAAGTAAAATATATATAAAATCAATCACACACAAATTGACCTTTAATAAAAATAGAAAATTTTTTAGAATGCACCCTCTTTCATTCGTCACATGTTCACTATTCAAGTAGAAATTAAAAAGACCATACGTATAAGACTTCGGTGGTCTAGTAGAGATTATCAGGAAGCAAATATATTTTTTAAAATACCCGCTGCCCTAAGCAAACATTTTCCTCACTCCGAAGTGCTGAAGTAAAGTACTGTAAGCGAACGCTACTTTTCAGAAGACTATTGTGATAAAGATGAAACCAATGATTTCCCTTGGTAATTAACGAACCAGATAGAATAAGTTGCCTTGAGGCAAGAGATAACCCATGTTCATCATAAAACTGGGAAACTTTACAGCTACAATCGAGAGACGTGACTGAGAGACGCTGTGAGCTCAGTCCATCCACAAGACAAGAAAAACTTTTTAGCCAAATTACAAATTCAAACAACTTGATTACTACAATAAACTTTAACATAAAGTCATCAACTGTGGAAGGTTATAACGAAAATACATCTTCCCAAAAAAGTCCTCTTGTTATTAGATTTGTTGGCACCATACCAATGAGCCATACGATCGTGTTGCGAAAAGATTCTTTAAGAGAACAACGACAACGACAACAACAACGAAGACCTATCCCAACCTAGCATTGGCTCAACAAGACCAGTTTATGAGATCATATAAATAGATATTCTTTAAGAGTCTTACCAACTTTGAAATAGAAAAGAAAAAAACCAACTGCGAAAAATGTTCGTTCAAAACAAAAGAAATGAAACGAGTAAAAGAAAGAAAGAAAAGAAAATGTGGTAAAAGTTGGCCGCTGACCTTTACATGACCGGAATCGGATAGCAACAAATTCGACGGCTTGATATCGCGATGGATAATTTTTTGATAATGTACTGAAACTCATTGTAAAAATAGTAACTTTCATTGTCGTCATTATTAAAGTGGTAAAATATTTTTAAATAATAATTTTTAAATAATAATAATAATTTCAAATAATAATAATTTAATAGGAAGTCGATCCTGGGAACTATAATAATTTCCATCAGTAGCCCATTTACTAATTGGTGACCAACATGATGGTGGAATCAGACAATTTCAGCAAAATCTCTCTTCAAAAATAAGATTTTTGAGAGAAAAAAGATTCGTGGAGAAAAAAGAAAACTTCGGAAAAAAAAGACGATAAAAATCTGTTCGGAATAATTCTTTAGTCCACTTGCACATTGCTTACCGAAAAAAAACTATTTTTTCAACCTTAGAAATCCCACGGTTTTTCCCCTTCTGAGCATAAAATTCCTAGCCGTGCTTTCTCAGAACTACGAAATGAATTCGTTTCAAATATTAGTGTGCTTTCCCCTAATTCAACTCAAAGAGACACTTCTGCCACAACATCTTACGCCAAAAACAAATGTTTCGAATTGCACTTTGTATATTTTTCGTCGTTTAGAAATAATAATTATGAAGAGGACAACATTATTTACTTACAGTATTCGAGTCCCCGCAATGTATCCCTAAAATATTTCCAAGCGATGTCCTCATCCAATGGCTTGTCGGTGGGCACATCCAAAATACTGCCTCGTTCAACGAACTCAAACACCATATAGAGGTAAGTATCGTTTGGATCATCTAAAACCTATAAAACATAACAATAAATTCAACCTTTTGTAAATACTTATATATATACTATATACTACTTATAGTATAGTATATACTTATATATATACTATATACTACTTATAGTAGTATATAGTATATATATATACTTACTACTATACTTATACAATGTTTTCCATCAATAAGCAGACACGAGGTTGTTAATATAGAATTTCTTAGAACACAATTGCTGACGTCTCGGCGGTTTCCCCTTCTTCAGAGCCGTTTATTTGTTGTAAGTATTTAAGTTAGTTGATTGATAGCAGCCTCACAAAGTAATACATGGGTGAGATCAGAGACAAATAAACGGCTTTGAAGAAGACGAAACCGGCGAAACGTCAGCAATTGTGTTCTAATAAATTCTATATTAACAACCTCGTGTCTGCTTATTGATGAAAAACATTGAATTATCAATTAATGCCGAGGTTAACAGAAAGTCGGTCTTGGGAATTACTATACTTATATATATATATATATATATATATATACTTCCACGTGATTTATGTGCGGTTGGTCTCTACGTGACATACTTAGTGGAAACTTCATAGAAAGCGGTGAGTGTGCAAAGCTGTGTTCAAAGTGATTGAAATCTTGGTTTGGGGTTTCTTTATTTGGTTATGGAGGCGTCTGGCCGAGTGAGTTGCTATCAACTTGACCTTTCCAGGCTCTGAAGAAGGGGAAATCCGCCGAAACGTCAGCTTAATCGTGAACAAAGAATAGTAACACCTCGCGTTTGCTCAACAAAAATACGAAGAAAATCAATTGTACTAAAGAGTGCATGTAGCATAGGGATTAGAGATGCCCTGCAACACATGAGGTTAGTGGTTCGGCCACTCACCTCTGGGCTAACAGAGCACGTCATCACTTCGGAGTGCGCAAATTGAAATCCGACTTGTCCGAAAGGATGAGGGCGCTAATATAATGCATCGGTAAGCACTTTGAATCATTGTGTCGGCCAATTACACAATCGACTACCCCTGCAATGCTGCGAATGGAATCGAATGCAAAGCGCATTGCTAATGGATCAACCAGAGACAAACGGTTCATAATCTTAACTTTTATCTTATATTCTGCAGATCCCAGTATTTTTTTCATTCGGCTGGTTATCTTGCATTCACCCACAAACGACGGCGTTAGGATTTTCGCATGGGTTCTGTTGCTAGTTGAGATTTTCTTCTTCCTAACAAATATCGTTGAACGATGGTCAAATTGATTTACTTTGCAATCTTGCGATAACTCTGCTATAGCGCTACCAGATTCTCACTTCCGGCAGTCACCCACGCCGTGGATTAGATGTGGTTGTTCCCAGGCAAGTCGGGTATCTGAAGCACTCAGTTGGCTGAGTGCTCAATCTGACCACGGAACATGTGTGCGCTGCACGGAAACTAACCATTGCGCTACACGCGAACCTCACAGTATAGAATGAGTCAAAAAGCTGTATTTAAGATAACTTTTGTAAACTTAATCACAAAATAGTAATGAACGATGACTGAGAATTGCCTAGAGAGAACACTTCGACCCTTACACTAGTGTGTCATTATACAATAGAATTAATTAATATTAATACATTACAATACAATTAATGGCCACAGTCTCGAGGTGTGACCTAACTCAATAATTCATTTTATTCTCAAGTAACTTAACAGAGAATCACCATGCCTTAACTATTCACTTACTGCCTATTCCTCTTTCATGATACGAAATGATGCGAAATAGGAAGACAAGGATGCTGAGAAATGAGCAAGATTCGAAACCTCAGGTGGGTATCGAACCTCCAGTTGCCTATAGCAGGGGTTCACGTGCCATCCACCACACCAACCGAGGCCCTTGGTTAGCCGTTCCCTCAACCAATTTTTTTATTATATAGGTGCTATCAACAATCACCCATAAACGGCAATGATTTGGGGAGTACATACCAGACCTGTTTAGACTTCATAGAGTAAAACTACGGCTGAAAGAAAGGTAATGCAAAGGGTTCGATTGGTGTGGTGGATAGCACGTGAGCCTGCGGTAAGGTAATCACAGATTCGAAGCTCAACAGAGGTCCCGAGTTTTGCTCATATCTCAGCATAGTTGTGGTAGTATCTACTTATTTTCATGAATGTCTTTTTCTTTGTCTTAATTCTTGACTATGCCCTTATATTTAAGAAAGAGAGGGAAGGAGAAAAGAGAGACAGAAGGAGAGAGAGGAAGGAAAACGTTCACCAATGTACTTGATGCAATCGTCCTCATATACAAGAGAGAGAGGGAGAGAAAGAGAAAATAGAGAGAAGGAGAGAGAAAGAGAGAGAGAGGAAAGAAAACGTTCGAAACCTACTTGATATAGTCTTCGACATAAATCCCTTAACAAAATTTTTTCTTGGTTCATTATAGACGATGAAGTTTAATCTTCTTGTTACAATGAAAACTGAGTTTAGCTCCAAAAATAAGGGAAAAATTACGCTGCTAACGAGACATTCTGTGAAGACCGTACACCGTTTGCGTGAACACTAAGTTCTGCTAAAACATACTTGACACTGAATACTTGTAAGGCCAGTTCTCAATGGTTGTGTGGGCCTCAGCACAATCCCCATTTTTCGGAGATTTGCTGCTTAAACCATTGTGGTTCGTTGGAATCCCTAGGTCAGCCTGGTCAAAGCCTCCTCCAAGTCTGCACCACCACAGGCAGTCGCAGCCCTTGTGGAGCAGAGGGAGGTTTGCCACCATATGACTTTGATATCAGGATAGTGGTGGATCCTGGTATTGGTTCAATCTTAGCTAGGCTTCCTAATGGACTCCTTCTCAGCTTGGTAGGCCTTGTCAGGGGGTTAATTCCCCTGCTGTACATCGCAGTCCCACACTCAGGAACACCTTCCAGCCGCGATGAGGCGGTAAAGCGTTTGCAGGTATTAAACCATATAATTTCTATAATTTTATAAGATCAAACCTCAACTAGTTTGACGACGTTTGGATGACTGAGCTTCTTTAAAATAGCTATTTCTTTTTGTACAAGTTGAAGCGGATTATTGAGTGTCGACGATGACTGCTTTGATTTTCGTGCCGGCGGTTGTCCTAAGTGGAAATCTGATTAAGGCTGAGTTCAGCTTCAATCGACCTACCTTCTAATGTTTCTAAGACCTAAAAACAAAGTATATAACTGAAAATAAGCACCACTTACGAAAGCATGCAAAGTTTTTGAGCAATTTGATTTTGTCAAGTACTTTCAGAGCATAGAGGTTCTTATCTTGTTCATTATAGGCCAACTTAACGATGCCGTAGGAGCCCTGAAAAGTGTAGAAAAGTGACAACGGAACTCAAAAACCTTTCAGTTCTAAGGCAGTTTGTGTCCATTTCTAGTGTTTTCAGTTTACCAGTTTAATTTCATAAAATGCTATGATTTACTACAAAAATATTAGATTTTGAGTAATTTAAGAAAAAATTTGACAGCTTTTTTTGCTTACCCCGGTGTACTTCAATAACTCCGCAAAACAAAGTCGTAGAACTAAGACCTGCTGTGCGAAATGCCAGTGTGGAATGTCTCAATGCCAATCAAATCCAGTAAAACCCCAATGTTTTCGTGTGCATACAGTTCGTTCAATTAAGCTGAAGAGATCTTTAACATTTCGAAAGCGAACCCTAGAAGGAATTTGTCTACACCTTGGAACAAACCTACTGACAACACTGCAAGCCACCTAATTTATAAAGGACAGAGAATCGTTGTCATGATGACATGTGAACGCACTCGCACGAGTTTTTCGGGTGTCCAGCCGAATAAAATCGTTCCCACCCAGAAATAGAATAAATAAACAGAGGAACAGCTTCGTGAATATTGGTCATCTACGTGTCGAATAATGGATTAGAAGCTAGAATAGAGGACAGAAATTTATAAAGTTTGATGATGAAAAAGCATCAAAACCGGATTTGTCAAAGTGCCATTATCCCAGACGAATCAATCGATATGTACAAAATGTTTGTGGCAGCTAGAGCTGTTACTGTTTCAAACCCAATCTTGTCAAATGATACCTGTCCAATTTCCTCCATCAATCGATATTGATTAAGCTGAATGTAGCTTTCGCTGTTCTGTTGAAATACGTTCCTTATGTGCCGCGTTGGTCGTTGTAGTACTGGAGACATCGTGGCCGATAACTAAACAATTTTAAGGTTTAATTAAAGTTGCATTCAAGTTTAAATCGCTACAGTACACTGACAAAGGTAATGCTAATGAATTTTGGGATGATCGAAACTCTTGGAAGAGAAACAGAATGAAGCCTGTTAAACAACGCCTATGGATTTCATTAGAGACCCAATGTAAAACACAGGTAGTGAACATCTTTTAAGATTGGTTAACGCCTTACTCCCTGGAAAGGACAATGTCGCGTTCGTTGCCTACGGCAAGCACCTGCGGTCCGGAGTGTTGCAAATATCTCAGCAATCTTGTGGTTGCATTTCGCTTAATACCTTGCCATAAAAATAATAGAAGGCAGAAAATAAAAGGCAAACATCTTTTAAGATTGTTTAGCTTATAAACCACAGGCACTGATGCTATCGCTGGCGCAGTTGATACATATAGCTTGAGTTGAAGACATTGTGTGAAAATCCACTATGAAGACCTACACGAAAAATCTAGCAAATCACAAAGTGAATTCCAGTGAGCCCTAAAAAGTGGCAAAGAATTGAAACGAGTTCCAGGACTAAGTAGATTTTCAATGTAGAGCTGATTTCGAGAAGGCCATGGTCTAGGTAATACATGTAGTTTTAATGTCTAGAGTTATTCTGGTAACCTTCTTAAATGGGAGTGGTTTAGGGTAATGCAATAGGTGAGTGCTATTGCGAATGAAGCCACAAGTTCGAATTTTGGCGGCTCCATCTAAGAGAAAACGGCCACTCACTCACTTTTATTCTTTTATCTTTTCCTTTTTGACTGGAAGATGGTCTTGCCAAAAAGTGCAATTTCTGCTGAAGCCTTATTTTTTGTTTTCGTCTTGCTTCACCAAACTGCCGAAGGTAATTTCATTATTTCTAACTTATTATTTACTGCCTACTCTTTTTAATGGCAGAGTATATTGCGAAATATAACTTCACAGACGCTGAGATATTTGCAACACTCCGGACCGCGGACCGCAGGTGTCTGCGGTGGCGAACGAACGCGCTATTGTCCTTAGCGGGGAGTAACGCGTTCACCACCACACCATGCGGGTCCTTCATTCCCGCTGACGGATGCTTACTGATGGCAGAGATCGATAAAACTAGCCGAGAAACAGGCGAAACAAAGGACCCGCATGGTGTGGTGGTGAACGCGCTACTTCCCGGAAAGGACAATAACGCGTTCGTTCCTCACCGCAGACAGCTGGGGTCCAGAGCTTTTCAAATACCTCAGCATCATTGAAGGTAATTTCACTGTTGAATTAACGAGGTATGGATTCAAGAATAGCAAAAATTATCATATATTGATTTCAAAAATTTCAATGAGGACGTCGAGAAAAACAGCCGGCTGCAATTATTTCACTTATTCTGTACTCGCAGATTACAAACGAGTACGTAGAATTACGTATTGGATCCAAAAGACTTTGCCAATTCACCTAATGAAACTGATTTTCAGATTTCTTAACGCGTCTTTCCGAAATATCAGAATTTCAGCTTTAGATGACACGCATTTTCAAAACGCATTTACTCGCCTTAACGAAGTCCCCAAGGGATTTTTCTGGAACACAGCAATTTCCAAAGGCTTTGAGCTATTCATTGATTGGAGAGTGGCAAAAAATCCTAGAATGAATTACACTTCGTGGTTGGTTTTTTAGCAGAAAGTCTAAGGGTTTTGAGTAAAACTAAGCTCATTGTTGTCTAGGAAAAAAGCCGACGATTTGAAAAATTATAATATAGTGCATTAGACGAATCAGTAATGAAAGGCCGTTTCACAGCGCTTTTGTGGCTTCAACCTTAAGAAATGACCCATTTTGGACAAAAACCAAAAAGTTTTACGAGGATGAAGTCATATCTTTTGGAATGAAAAAAATTGGAACCATGCGAGCAGATAAATAGTACTCAGTAGGATTCGCCTTTGGATTTTTCTTGAGACAACTCCAAAGCTTTCTGATCACATTAGTTCCTGTTCCAAGTGAAAAAGTAAATTTATTCAAAAGGAGATAATCGTAAGGAAAACCCGGTCAATAATGAGATGATCTCTTGTAAGAGGAGAGAACTTGGCTCGAACGGTAATATTTAGCTGCTAGTTTGCATTAAAATATCACAATAAGGCTACAATACGAGCCCGAATGGGACGACGTGAGTCCATGACGTCCTCACTCCACCCCCACCAGCTGATTCGCATTGTTATTGAGAAGGCTTTGCACTTTACAATCAAGTTCTTTTGCTTATCCATAAAAAAAACTCTTAAGAGAAAGTCGCACCTTTTAACCTTTTGTTTAGTTCCTAATATTTTTTTTCTGGTAGAACCGTTAGGGTAAAGAACTGGCTTAGCGAAAGGAAAAACACGGGCTTAGGCTGGTGTGGTGGATAGGAGCCCCTAGAAAAGGTAGTAGCTGTTTGGAAGTTGTCTGAAGTTTCCGAGTTTTGCAAATATCTTAATCTTAAGACGGCTTTTTTACTCTATTTTCGAAGAACTTTGCTGCATGAGACTTAAGGCTCTCTATTCAAGTCATCATTCATTCAAGTAATTCACTAATCAAGTCATCCACCCACATTCCCCGTCACTTTGGGACTAGTGAGAGTTTCAGTAGTTTCGATTGTTAGTTTTCAAGGAGGAAGGGGCATTTCTTAGTCGTTTTATCTTCATAGAGTAGTGAGAAAAGCAAATTTATATTCCGCACACTAACTAAATTATTGATGCTGCTAAATATTCAATAGTTACTGGCAATAGTTTTGCTAAATAATTCAACATCAAATATGAACATAACAACTTCGACCAGTCAAGCAAATGAACATGAAAAGCTCTATCATCTTCTTTGTTTTCGAATAAAACAGGAAGCTCTAAGCAAGTGAGTGATCGCCTTAACAGCTTTCTATTTAAACAAATGAGAGGACATAAAAATCGCATCACATGTTTAGTAGAATAAGCTACTTCTCTTCTAAATCTCAGGCTGAAAATCCTATATTTTATGTTACTTCTCTTTTTCTGTCTCGAAAAACTTTAGTTGAATAAGTGCAAGCATTATAAAGTTCTAAGATGATGACAACCGATCATCATTAAAATTTGTGGACTTATAAAAAAAGATAAGGCTCTCGGCGTTGATCAGTCCCCGAGGGATGCGCTATGCATTCCACTTCCTTGAGAATCGTTGGAGGTGACTGAATGCATATCCGGCCTTTCCAAGGCTCGCGGTGGCCTACCGATATATCGAGCCAGTGCTGCTATCCTCCCAGACAGGTCTGGTACCAATTTGCCGGCCCCGGAGAGATGGAAGGCTTGGTGAGCCATGGATGCTAGGATCGATCCCACACGTGATTTGCAGGGCGCCTCCGACCACTGCGCCACACGCGCCCTTACATATTCTGTAGAATAAGTATACTCTAGTACAGAATAAGTATAAGTATGATGACATATACTGACATCTAATTCTATAATCTCCTTAGGGAACAGCAAGCAATATAATTTGGCCCATCTAATAAACTGTGGAAGTTATTCGTTCGGTACTACAGAGCTTCGGTCAACGTGGAACGAACTTGTTAACTAAAATTTAGAGCTTAGAACACTAGAACCTGAAAACCGATGCGATTTTCGTCATTTTCTGAAGCGAATGTACGACAAACGAAAAGTACAACATAGTGCTAGATTTTAGTTTCGTGCTATGACCTCAGCAATTTTCATCAAAACACATTGGAACAGAGAGCGGAAGATTTACTGTTGTGAATCAATCGCTAATCGGTCGTTCAGGTAGTGTAACACTCTGCCGAAGTACGTAATAGGAAGTGAGCGTAGGTCAAGTAGGAACACCGGCCACCCATTGTGGAATTCGAACGAGCCTTCCGCATTGGCTTTTTTTCATGGCGTGCAGCCTTTAATGCGAGCACGTTCTGCTGAGCAGATAAGTTTTCTTATTATAACGTAGTCACTTTTTATCTACTGCTTATCCTTTTTCATTGCCGGGTATGATCTTAAATATAACTACAATGGTAGTGAGATATTTGCAAAACTCCGAACCACGGATGTCTGCGCTGGAGATCGAACTCGATATTACCCTTTCCGGATGCCAACGCGTTCACCAGCACCAGCACACCATGCGGGTTTCCGTTTCTTCTTTGTATCAGCCGCATTTTAACCTACAGTTGCTATCAACAATCACCCGTTAACGAGATAAATCTGGGGAGAACAAGACGGCATTGAACCTCATTAGTCTGAAGCTGTAGTATAAATCACAATGTGGTCACTTTTTATTTGTTGCCTATTCGTTTTCATGGTAGGGAATGATGTAAAGTGTAAGTACAATGATGCTGAGACATTTACGAAACTCCGGACCGCAGGTGTCTGTGTCTATCAAACGAAAGACCCACATAGTGTGGCGGTGAGCGTGTTAGCCCTCTAAAAGAGAATAACGAGTTCGATCCTCATCGTAGACACCGTGGACACCTGCGGTCCGGAGTTTGGCAAATATCTCATCATCACAATGTTAACTTCATGTTTACTGCTTATTGTAATTATTTATGGCAAGGTATTACGTGTGAAACAACCACAATGATGCTTAGATATTTACAAAACTCCGGACCGCAGATGTCCACGGTGTCTACGATGGGGATCGAACTCGTTATTTCCTTTTAGGAGGCTAACGCGTTCACCACCACACCGTTTTGGTCCTTCGTTTCGCCTGTCTTTCAACTAATTCTGATCGACAAAACATCAGCATCATTGCGGTTATATTTTTTATATTTCTATTCCTATTTCATGCATTATAGTTTTTTGCCTTACACTCAGTGGAAAAAAATTGGAAGAACAGTTCTCTAATGACTATACTATTCCCATAACATCACTAGATCACATTGGTTACTCCTCATCAGCGACTGGAGATATTCAACTGGAAAGCGATAGACAACTCTACGCGTTGCCTCCATATACTTCCTTCTCTCATTTTTTTTTACTTCCTTTACATCTTTCTACACACTACATCTTTCGCCTGAGAGGC